TGTCTGCACTGGGCTAGCCTGCTGGCCGGGGCCCGCGGCGACACACCCGCGCGGCGCACGCAGAAAGCTGGAGGGCGGAGCAGGGGGAGGACAAGGAGGAGGAGGAGGAGGAGGAGGAGGAGGAGGAGGAGGGCGCGGCGCACGCAGAAAGGTGGAGCGTGGAGGAGGGGGAGGACAAGGAGGAAGAGGAGGAGGAGGAGGAGGGGGAGGAGGAGGAGGAGGGAGAAGCAGGAAGAGGGAGAAGGAGGAGGAGGGAGGAGGGAGGAGGAGGGGGAGGAGGAGGAGGAGGAAAGGGGCGGGGAGGAGCGAGGAGGAGGAGGGGCGAAGGGGAGGAGGAAGAAGGAGGAGGGAGCGGAGGAGGAGGTAGGAGAGGGAGAGGAGGGAGGAGGAGGAGGAGGAGGAGGAGGAGGAGAAGGAGGAGGGGAGGCGGAGGCGTGAGGGAGAAGGAGGAGAAGGAGGGAGGACGAAGAGCGAGGAAAGGGATGAGAGGAGGGAGGAAAAGGGAGGAAGAGGGAGGAGGAGGGAGGAAGGAGGAGGAAGGAAGGAGGAGGAGGGAGGAGGAGTGAGGAGGAGGAGGAGGAGGAGGGAGTAGGAGGAGGAGGAGGAGGAGGGGGAGGAGGAGGAGGAGGAGGAGGAGGAGGAGGAGGAGGGCGTTATTGGGCTTCCTCGAGGCCGCTGCCCCTCGGCTGTGAGAGCCCTCCGGGCGCGCGCAGGAGCTGCCTCCTTGTCTGGCTCGCCTCTGGGCGTTCTGCCTGGTGTTGCTGCGGGGATGCTGAGCAGCTCGCTGCCGAGCAGCGGGGGAGGAGGAGGACGAGGACGAGGAGGAGGAGGCGGAGGAGGAGGAGGAGGAGGAGGAGGAGGAGGAGGAGGAGGAGGGACGGGAGGAGGAGGAGGAGGAGGACAACGACGAGACAGAGGAGGAGGGAGGAGGGAGGAGGAGGAGGAGGGAGACAGAGGAGAGGGAGGGAGGAGGAGGAGGAGGAGGAGGAGGAGGAGGAGGAGGAGGAGGAGAGGAGGAGGAGGGAGGAGGAGGAGAAGAACGAGGAGGAGGAGGAGGAGGAGGTGGAGGGAAGGCTGTTGGCCAGCTTGGTGGCTGCCAGCGCCTTGACACAATGTCGGGGCGCTGAGCCGTCGGTATTCGTGCACGTGGCAGCGGCCTGGCAGCCGCCGACGAACCTCGGGCGTGACCGCACACCAGGCAACGGCGGGTTGCGCCCGCTCGCGCGTGCGCGCACAGTTCGGGCAGGAGTGAGCCCGTCCTACTAAGGGCAGCCCAACTGAGCACTGTGCGTGGGGGGGGCTCCACACCCGCGACCAGCAGGCGGGGGAGGAGGGAGGAGAGAGGTGGGAGGAGGAGGAGGAGGAGGAGGAGGAGGAGGAGGAGGAGGAGGAGGAGAGGAGGAGAGGAGGAGGGAGGAGGAGGAGAGGAGGAGGAGGAGGAGAGTGAGAGGACGAGAGGAGAGAGGAGAGAGGAGAGAGTGAGAGACCGAGGAGAGAGGAAGAGAGGATGAGCAGAAGGAGAGAGGAGAGAGGAGAGAGGAGAGAGGAGGGGGGGAGAGGATAGAGGAGCGACGAGGGACGAGGGGAAGAGAGGGAGGAGGAGGAGGAAGGAGGAGGAGGAGGAGGAGGAGGAGGAGGAGGAGGAGGAGGAGGAGAGGAGAGAGAAGAGGAGAGAGGAGAGAGGAGAGAGGAGAGAGAGGAGGAGAGGATGGAGGGCAGAGAGAGGAGAGAGGAGAGAGGAGAGCGAGAGAGAGGAGGAGGAGAGAGAGGAGGAGGAGGAGAGGAGGAGGAGGAGGAGGAGGAGGAGGAGGAGGAGGAGGAGGAGGAGGAGGAGGAGGAGAGGAGGGAAGAAGACATGGGCAACCAACGATGTGATATGTTTCATGTGCGGCCCCAGGTGTCCCGACCCTTTCCCTCGGGTTCAGTTTTTCACCCTGGATCGGTTCACGATGGCCCACGAGCCCGACAACGGGCCCCGCGGGCCGAAATTTGCATTTACTGTTTAAAGAGATACCTCCCTTTTTAAAAAGAAAATGTGAGATTTGGGGAGGAGGGAGCGGCCCCCGGCCGAGGATCGCCGGGCGTCATGTCGAACCCCCATGGGCTGGCCGAGCTCAGCCACTTCGGCTCCATGCAGCGCGTGGGCGGGAAGGCTGGCGGCAGGGCTGCCCAGTGGTTCTGCTGCGACTGGGGGGGAGGAGGAGGAGGAGGAGGAAGGAGGAGGAGGAGGAGGAGGAGGAGGAGAGAGGAGAGAGGGGAGAGAGGAGAGAGGAGAGAGGAGGAGGAGGCGAAGGAGGAGGACGAGGCGGAGTCATGGGCCTGGGCCTGCGCTGGGCTCTCTCGCTCTGGGCTGCTGCCCTGGGGGGGAGGTGCCGAGCCGTGCCGGAGCAAAAAAGCAGGATCGGTCCCAGGGGGCCCTCTGGAGGACATAGGCAGAATAGCGAGGCCGCGCCCGCCCTGCGCTGTGTCACGCGGGCGGCGCGGCTCGCGCGGAGGCGGTGGTGCCACACGGGAGCCGCGCGAAGACAGGAGGGGCGAGCCGCGGTGGGCCTCCTCCCTCGTCCTGGGCAGCCCCCCCCCCTTGCCCCGGCTGCCCGCCAGGGGCGGGCGGCCCGCCCCGCGGGGTCGGGCCAGGGGGGGCCACCCGGGCCGAGGGCGGGGGCCCTCGGCGAGGGGGAGCGGGCCCCCCCCCCGCGCTCGCAGTGTCCAGGGGGGGCCCGGGGTCCGCTTCCTCACCTCCGGGGCTCCTCGCCCTCCTGTGGCGTCGCACGCCCATCGCACGGGGGGGGGGGGGGGGGGGGGGGGGGGGGGCAGCGGCTTCCGGGGGAATGGCCCGGGCCCCTGCGCCCAGGGCCCCCCCCGGAGCCGCCACCCGTGTCAAGGAGGCATCTCCGTGTATTTGTTGCCACTCGTTCACCGCCATCGCACTGCTATTAGTCGGGGGTGGACAGGCCTCCTGCCCTGGCACGTCGATTAGCGAATTGGCCGTTTTCGGTTCGCGAGAGGGCGTCGCGGCCGTCATTTTTGCGGGTCCGGGTCCGTCGGTTTCGGTCCCAGGCTGTTTTGATGAAAGGGAGGTTTACTAAAGGGAGGTTTGTCCACCGCCGAATTAGGGCTCGTCGAGGATACGCCCCCGTGCGCCAACACGTGAGTGCATCCTCCTCTCTGCCCGGCGTTTGCGGCCAGTTAGGCTCAGGCACTCGGCCGAGTTTGAACAACCCACCCACCACCTTGGGTCATCGAGGTCCTGTGAGTGGCAAGGGCCCAGCGCCAGGGCCCCCAGAACCGCCACCCGTAAAAGAGGCATCTCCTTCATCCCCTGCCTCTTGTTTTATTGCCGTCGCAACGCTGTTGCGGCCCGTCGAGGATACGGGCACGTTTCTTCTCCGCATCTGCGGTGCATCCAGCTCGTGTGCAGAGTCAGATACGGCGACCCCGCGGAATGAAGCATAGTTGTTAACGTGGTGTCACATCGAAGTGGGATCAGGTTGGAGACGCTGAAATGTCAAACGTGCGTGCGGCAGCGGATCTGCCCTGGAGCCGGCATGGCCAGCGCAATCTGGGCTCCTCAGGACTGCGGCCCTCAGCGCCGCGCACGCGCGTCGCCAAGGCCTGCAGCAGCCACATGGATGGCAGGGCGTTTGGGTGTTCAGCGTGTGGCTCCCGCTTGGCGCTTCCGAGATATCGGGGGTGGACAGAACCCCCCAACAGTGACACGTCGATCCGTGGATTGTCCGTTCTCGGTTCTCGAGGGGGCGCCGTGGCCGTTCTTTTCCAGGCTCGCGCCCGCCAGGTTTGGGCCTCGGGTCGGTTTCGCTAAACCACGTTCTACTAAAAGGGGGGCCTGTCCATCCCCGATAAGCACTGTTGGCAGGGAGCAGCGCTCACAAGGAAGCGTGACCGGGAGGGGGAGGAGGAGGAGGAGGAGGAGGAGGAGGAGGAGGAGGAGGAGGAGGAGGAGGAAGAGGAGGACGATGACGAGGACTAAGCCACGTTCTACTCAAGGTGGGTCTGTCCGTCCCCGAAGATGAGGGGCCCGACGCGACAGCCAGCTGCCCGCAGCCCCGCACGGCCGGGGAAGGGGGAGGCGGCGCCTCTCTTGCACGGTGCCCTCTGATTGGCATGCAGCAGCTCCACGGACGGAGGGCGGCTCCTGTGCAAAGCGGGGCTCTCGCGGGGGGGGGGAAACGTAAGAACATAATTAAACACACACACACACACACACACACACGCACACGCAAAGAAGAAGAAGAAGAAAGGAAGAAAGAAAGAAGAAAAAAAACGAGCAACAACAACAACAACAACAACAACAACAACAACAACAACAACAACAACAACAACCACAACCACAACCACAACCACAACGACAACAACAACGACAACGACAACGACAACGACAACGACAACGACAACAACGACAACGACAATAACGACAACAACGACAACAACGACAACGACAACGACAACAACAACGACAACTACAACAACAGCAACGACAACAACAACAACAACAACAACAACAACAACAACAACAACAACAACAGCAGCAGCAGCAGCAGCAGCAACAACAAGCAATGCTCTCGCTGGACACTCCGTCGAGTTTCTGTGGCCCCCTGCATCTGCACGTTGCCGGCCGCTCGCTGAAGAGAGATGCGGAGGAGCTCCTGCTCGCAGCGGCGCTCTCGCCTGTAGTCGCTGATTGTGACGTTCGATCTCTTGCCCACTTCCTGGGAGCTTCTTCGGGGGCCCTGAGAGGCCTCTGCGGGGGCTTCCAGGGGCCTCTTGCAGGGCCTCCTGAGGCCTTTTGGGGGGCCTCTTGGGAGCTCTGAGGGGCCTCGTGGCCGTCGGAGGCGGTGCTGGGGCCCTCTCTGGGCAGTCGTGAGTCCCCTCTCTGGGCGCTCTAAGGCCATCCTGAAGGCCCCTGGGACCGTCTTGCCTCTTGGGGGCCGTCCTGGTGTCCTTTTGGGCCGTCGTGCGGGCCTCCTGTGGGGTCGCTTGGGCCGTCCTGCAGCGATCTCGGGGGCTTGTGGGGCTGTCTTTGGAAATCGAAGGCTCGAAAAGGCGAGAACGCTAAAGTCATAGCAACACCTACGGATAATCGATGATTTCGGCCTCCTGGAGGTCCTCTTGGAGCCCTCTTGGGCCGTCTGGAGGGCATCGTGGGCCGTCTTAGGGCCGTCTTGGAGACATCTCGGGACAACCGTGGGCTCTCTTTGGACAACCTTGGCCGTCTTGGAGGCATATTGGAGGCCATCTTGGAACAATACTGGCCGTCGTGGAGGCGAGTTTTCCAGTGTCCTTGCGCGCCGTTGCGCGTCTTTCCAGGAGGCCAGCGGGTTTGGCCGAAGGCCCGTTGAAAAGGACCAATGAACCCAGCGCGGCCCCAATCAGGGGAAAGATTCCTATGGCAAGGGCGCATCGCTTCGCATTGTTTAGCATTGCTTGACAGCGCTTGGCATTGGAACCCGAGGAACCCGAGGAACCTCCGAGCAACAAGGAGCCCGAGGAGCCCGAGGAAGCTCCGAGCAAAGGGCAGAGTATCCCCCCGAGGCACCGGGGACGGGGAACCCGAGGAACCCGAGGAATCTCTGGGGACCGGGCAACTTGCCCCCCGAGGCATTCGGTTTGCGAAGACTTGCGTTGCAGTTTTTTTTCCTGCATTGCAGTTTTTGGTTTCCTGGTGACCCAGGTCTGGATTGACCCGGTTCAGAAGATCCCCGAGGCATTTTTTCTGACCAAGTAAGAACCCCTAGGCAAGCCCCATTGGGGAACATGTGCCCAGCATTTGGCACGCCGTGCACCCCTGCGGCAAACCAACAGGGGGCGGCGGATCTGGTGGTTTTCGGCCCATCCCTCCACCGTGCTCGGGCTCCAGGTCGGTGGCCCATGGGATGCCCGCGGGGATCGTTTGGGAGAGACCTCTCGGAAGCCTCTCGGGGATCCCTTGGGGGCTCCTTGGGGCCTGATTTGGGCCTCCTGGGTGCCTCCTGGAGCTTGTGGGGGGCCTCTTGGGGGCCTGCTAGCGATCTTGGTGGCAATCTTGGGGCGAAGGGCTCGAAATGTCAGTTCGTGTTTCCCCATCTGGGGCCTCTCCAGGTCCACTCTTGATGCCTCTCTTGGCCCTCTGGGGCTCTACTGGGCCGTCTTGTGGCCCTCTTGGGCCGTCTTTGGGCGATCTTGGGAGCCTCTTGGGCCGTCTTCGCGCGTCGAAAGCCCCCGCAAAGACGAGAGCACTAAGATTTTTCAAAAACGTAGAGACACATAATGTTTTTGTTGACATCTCGGGGCCTTCTTGGCGGGCCTCTTCGGGCCCTCTTGGGGCGTCTTGGGAGCCTCTTCGGCCGTCTTGGAGCCGTCTTGTGCGTCTTGGAGCGCTCTTGGGACGATTCGGGGCTATGAGGGGTCCAGTTGGGTGCTCCTTGGGACCTTCTTGGCCCGTCTTGGTGCACACCAGGAGTGCGCACAAGCGCCCAGAAGATTTGGAAATTCTCCCCACCTGCTTATTCAGAAACCTTGCCCATGAGAGTTGACGCGAAAAGGAACGAAGGGGTCCATATTAGTGAAACAAAGCGGGCACCTAGGATGAACAGAGAGATCTCTGGGAGCAAGGAGGTGGCCTTGGAAGGCCTCTTCGCGCCATCCCTGGGGCCCGCGTGGGGGCGAGGGAAGGAGGAGGAGGAGGAAGAGGAGGAGAAGGAGAAAGAAGACGACGACGAGGAAGAGGAGGAAAAGGAAAAGGAAGACGATGAGGGCAAAGAGGAGGACGAGGAGGACGAGGAATGACAGAGCTCTCAAAATCGCCTCTTGGAGCACTCTTGGGACTCTTTGGGATCTTGGTGTCCTCTTAGGGCTCTTTTGGAAAGTCTTGGGGCCCTCTTGGGAGACCCTTAGGAGCCCTGGACGGCTTCTTGGAGCCATCTTGAAGGCCATCGATCAAAATGGGGGGGTCCTAATTTATGTCCCCCCCCTGGGGCCATCAAAATCGTCTCTTGGGGCCGTCTTGGGACGCTCGTGTATCGATCTTAGGCGCTATTGGGGCCGTTTTGGGGGCCTCTTGGGCCCTCGGTTATCTTGGGACAATCTTGAGGCCTCAAGGCACATCGGATTCGCAAAGGCAAGAAGGCAAAATCCATGAATTTCCCATATGATTTTTGAAGGGTATTGGCCCCTTGAGGGAAGCCTGAGTGGGGCTCCGAGAGCATTTGGAACCATCTTGTGGCCTCGCCGGGCATCTTGGAGGTATGTCGGAAGCTATCTTGAATCATCTTCGGCTATCTTAGCCGTTGGGAGGCCATCTGGGAGCATCGGAGGCCCTCTTGGAGCCATCTTGGGCGAGAAAGGACCCTCTAACACATCGCCGCCCTCCCCACGAAAACCTTAAAAATGGGAGGGAAAAGGTACCCCTCCACAAAGGAAAGGCGGTTTTAGAAGGGAAAAGCAAGAGCTCGTTAGACTACCTTATCCCGAAGTGCTGGTGGGACTTGGGCCCCCAGCCCCTTAAAGAGCATTTACAAAGCTCAGCACAGAGAAAGAACTCGGGGGACCTGATCACACTCCATCTCGTGCCTCAGGACGCGGTGCCGGATCCGCGTGGTGCCACAGCGCAATCGGATCATCCTGACAAAGTTGAAATATCAAACGTGCGTGTGGCAGCGAAGCTGCCCCGGAGCCAGCATCGCGAATGTCATCTGAGCTCTTCAGGGCTACGGACCTCCCCACCCTCTCTGAATGTGGCCGCACTCGTCTCATCTCGTTGTCCCCCTCCTCCCCCTCCCCCTCCCCCCCTCTGTCCCCCTCCACCTTCCCCCCTCTCTCAACCCCCACACTCGTTTTTGAGGCATCGAACAGCTACTCGAAGGCTGGGCAGCTGGTTTTCAAAAATTGGCTCTCGCCCCAACGCCGCGCACATGGTTTTTGTCCAAAACTTACAATAGCGAGTTGTGCAGCCGTTCAAGGTTTGAAGGGCGACTCCTTTTTAAAACGGAACCTCGCTGAACAGTTCGTTGAGATTGATGATCACGCAATTTGCATGCTGCTGGCCATTCGGTAGAAGGATGTAAAGCAGTTCCTTCTCACAACGGCGCTCTCGTCTGAGTGGCAGGCCCATGGGTTGCTCGTCCTTGGGCGGGTGTACTGCAGCATCGTTGATGCATCATGGTTTACTCTGGTCCTCCTCCTCCTCCTCCTCCTCGTCCTCCTCCTCCCCCCTCCCTCCATCCCTCCTCCCCCTGGAGGGCAGAGCAGGCAGAAAAGAACGACAGCTGATGTTAGATTGCACATACCAACGTGGGGCCATTACCCGGAGGTCCTCTGGGAGTGAATGATTTTGTTTATCTTGCGTGCGGACATGTGAATTGCCAATGATCTTGGACTGTGCTCAAGGCTGGCGCCCCCAATCCAAGCAAGGGAGCGCGTCGAAAGGCAGCAGATGTTCTTGTGGTCGCGCCAAGTCGGCAGCCCATTCATGTGGCTTGGAAGTGGCGTACTCGGATCAGGCATCCAGGACGGTGGTCGTTGATCACATGACCCGCGCGGCTTCATCGCGCGATCGGGTTTAGTCCATCGTGCGATCGGCGCGTAGCCAGTGTGATCGCGGATGTGCAGATGTCATCACCGATGGTTGTGATCACAGTCGTTGTCGGCCAGACATTGGGACAAGGCCAAACAGGCAACAATTCAACGTTTGAATGGCGCCTTGTTTCCCCTGACGAACTCTCACTGTTGGCCAACAAGTGCAGTTTGCAATTCCAAGTCCGTTCGGAGGCGGCTGGTTTCATCAACAAGAAGTTCTTCCACCCCTCGTCGTTGCGCAACCAAGAGAAGTTGTGGCAAGCGCAGTCTGCGGACAGCCATGTTCAATGTGAGTGCGTTTATTCCTGGAGGGGCGATCGCTGAAGGTTTTCATGGTCTGTGTTGTACAATCCAGCGGCATTGATTATTCATCCCCAATCCCAAATCAGAAAGCGCTTATGCACACATAGGGATTCATTTTTGTATGTATACTATATATATATATGTATGTGTATGTGTCCCTTCAGGTGCAGCTGCACCTGGTGCACCATGATTTGTAGTATGCGAATAGATGTAAAGTTGTGCATGCGTACCTCTGTGTGCATGAATTTAGGTGTATGTACGTGTGTGTGTGTGTACGTGTATGTGTGTATGCATGCATGTATGAATATAGTGTGTATGCCTGTGTGTGTGTGTCTGTATGCACGCGCCTCCCCGAACCGTGGCATACCACAGGGGCTTGGGCCGGAGCGGCTGCGAGAGGGGGGGCAGAGAGGAGGGAGGGGGAGTTGGGGTGCACCAATAAGGATGTAAGGGTGCAAGGGTCATCTGCAGTCGGAAGGGTCCTTGGTAGGTGCAAGGATGAAAAGATGCAAGGCATTGCAATGATGCCATGGCTGCAGGATGCAAGAACGCAAGGGCAGGGGTAGTAATAGGACCCCCTCCCCCTCCCCTGACCTCTTGGGGACGTCAGGTAAAGAAGTCTCTAGCGACAGGCTCATGCGCATGGATGTGCACCCTATGTGTCGTACATGTGGATCGCAAGACAACGACATGCGTCATACAAAAAACATTGTCGACAATACACAGATTTTGTTGATCGTCGTCACCATGGTAACAACCTCGACCATGATTACATCTACTCCGATGGGCGTTTGTTACCACTCGTCTTCATCGTGCGCCATCCACCAGCTACACCACACTGCCAACTACGACATTGCACGAAGGCCTACCACAACAAGCTAGTAAGTAGCCTAAACGCTTTGCGTGTGTCGACGAGCATGCAGTGGAAAACAAGGCTCGGGAAGCCGTCATGCACCAAGAGGGGGGGATGGAGGAGGGATCGAAGGAGGAGGAGGAGGAGGAGGAGTGAACGGGGCACGGGAAGGAGGGAGGAGAGAGGACGAGAAACAGGCGGATGAGGAGGAGGAGGAGGAGGAAAAGGAGGAGGAGGAGGAAGGCGAGCAGAAAAGCCAGAGGCCTCTTGGATGCCTCATGGATTTTTGTCGGGTGTTTCTTGAGGGCTTCTTGGGGTCCTCTTGGGGCGTTTTGGGGGCCTCTTGGCTGTCCCGGGGGCCTCTTGGAACGCCTTGAGTGCATCATGAGGAGCTTCGTCGGGCTTCTTGGGCGTATCCTGGGCCGTCCTGAGACCCGTCTATGCAGTCTTGCGGGCATCTTGGGGGCGTCTTGCGGCGATCTTGGGGGCCTATGGGGCCGTTTTGGAGCGTCAGAAGCTCGAACAGACGAGAACGCTGGAGACCTCTTGGGGGCCTCCTGGGAACCGTTTGGGGCCCTTGTGGGGCACTCTTGGGAGCCGTGTGGGCCATCTTGGAGGAGCTCGATCAAAGAAGGGAGGAGCTTCCTTAGGGTCTTCCCCCCCAGGAAGTTAAAGTTAACCGAAAACCCAGGGAACATCAATGATGTTCGCCTTCTCGCTGAGGTCTTTTTGGACGCTCCAATTGGTCGCGAAGCCCTTCGTCAAGGTCCAGGGGGAAGGGGGGGAGAGGGGTCAAGACAACTCCTGCTCACAAGGCACCAGCCGTCTCGCTCACCCGACACATGAGTAGCACCCGAGCATCCCTGCCAAAAGCACATGCAAAGTGGTTGCGGGGCGCCCGCACATGCTCCAGATTTGGAGGCGAAGTTTGGTGTGCATTGTCTTTTGGCAGGAATGGTTGGCTTGCGCGCAACAAGCAATATGAGGCCCCACCATTGTCATTGCAAACACACCTGCAAAACGGTTTCGGGGCGCCCGCGCATGCTGTAATGCAGTACGTATTTTTTGATACGGGGTGGTTGGAGTGTGCGCCACCCCGCCGCCCCTGTCAAAAACCATGCAAAGTGGTCGAGGGGCGTCCGCGCATGCTCCAATTTGAAATTGAAGGTTATTTTGCATGTTTTGAAGCAGAGACAATGAAGGGGGGGGGGGGGGCACGGGTTCGGGTTGGCTGCCAGTCGTGTTGGGGAGGGGGTGTTTATTGATAGGGAACTTTGATCCAGCTTCCCCCCAAAAAGGGCGGCCGTCTCGTTCACTCCCACCCACCCTCCCACCACGGAAGTAGCATTCGAGTCTCAGCATGGGCAGGGACCGCCATCGACCATGATTGAGAACCAATGCTGACGCCAGCCAGGTGCGCGACGCCCGCGGGGTGCGCCGCGCGTGCCAGGGTACCCCCATCATCCCTGTCAAATTATCCTGGTGAAGGACCCAACCATAAGCAATTGTTCGTAACGCGTTGTGGGTGCCGCTTTCGGTGGGGCTCCCTATGGGGCCACGAAACGCTGCCTTGGGTGGGGGAACCGCATGCAAACTGCGCCACTGGGCCCGGCTTTCGGTGGAGCTCCCTATGGGGCCACGAAACGCTGCCCTGGGCGGGGGAACCGCATGCGAACTGCGCCAATGGGGCCTTCGGTGGAGCTCCCTACGGGGCCACGAAGTGGGGGAACCGCATGCGAACTGCGCCACGGGGGCCTTCGGTGGAGTTCCCTATGGGGCAACGAAACGCTGCTTCGGGCGGGGGAACCGCATGCGAGAGCAGCCACTGGGGCCTTCGGTGGAGCTCCCTATGGGGCCACGAAACGCTGCCTTGGGCGGGGGAACCGCATGCGAGAGCAGCCACGGGGGCCTTCGGTGGGCATGGGAACCGCATGCGAGATCAACCACTGGGCCCTTCGGCGGAGCTCCCCATGGGGCCACGAAACGCTGCCCTGGGTGGGGGGACCGCATGCGAGAGCAGCCACTGGGGCCTTCGGTGGAACTGCCTATGGGGCCACGAAACGCTGCCCTGGGCGGGGGAACCGCATGCAAGAGCAGCCACGGGGGCCTTCGGTGGAGCTCCCCATGGTGCCACGAAACGCTGCCCTGGGTGGGGGAACCGCATGCGAGAGGAGCCACTGGGACGTTCGGTGGAGCTCCCTATGGGGCCACGAAACGCTGCCGTGGGTGGGGGAACCGCATGCGAGAGCAGCCACGGGGGCCTTCGGTGGAGCGCCCTATGGGGCCACGAAACGCTGCCCTGGGTTGGAGAACCGCATGCGAGAGCAGCCACTGGGGCCTTCGGTGGAGTTCCCTATGGGGCCACGAAACGCGGCCCTGGCTGGGGGAACCGCATGCGAGAGCAGCCACGGGGGCCTTCGGTGGAGCTCCCTATGGAGCCACGAAACGTTGCCCTGGGCATGGGAACCGCATGCGAGATCAACCACTGGGCCCTTCGGCGGAGCTCCCCATGGGGCCACGAAACGCTGCCCTGGGTGGGGGAACCGCATGCGACAGCAGCCACTGGGGCCTTCGGTGGAGCTCCCCATGGGGCCACGAAACATTGCCCTGGGTGGGGGAACCGCATGCGAGAGCAGCCACTGGGGCCTCCGGTGGAGCTCCCTATGGGGCCACGAAACGCTGCCCTCGGTGGTGGAACCGCATGCAAGAGCGACCACTGGGGCCTCCGGTGGAGCTCCCTATGGGGCTACGTAACGTGTGAGAGGGGTGCCGAGAGCAGAGGCAAGGAGGGGGAGGAGGGAGGGGGCAGCGGGAGAAGGAGACGCTGGGCACCGTGTCTTCAAAAAACGAGAACCCAACACCACAGGATGGTGGGGAAAAACACTGCACATTGATCGCGGGGCTCCCGCGCATGCAGGTTGATTGAGCATTCTTTTTCCCCACATCCAAAGTGGGGTTCTTGTTTTCTCTGCACACCCCGCGCAGGAACACTCACCCCACCCCCTCTCCTCTTCTGCCTTCGCACACTCACTCACTCACTCATCATCATCACCACTCACTCACATTCACACTCACTCACACTCTCTCATCATCAAAATCCGCATCATCACTCGCGCTCTCTCACACGCTCAGTCACTCACATACTCATCATCATCATCATCATCATCATCATCATCACTCGCACTCTGTCACACGCTCACTCATTCACATACTCACCTGGAGGAAGTCTCAGGCGGGAGCTTCGTCTGTGAGTGAATTGTGAGGAAGTCTCAGGCGGGAGCCCCCTCCCTATGGGGCCCGCAGTTCATGTTGGTAATCTGAGCGGGTCATCCGAAACGTGTATCTGTCGTCACTTTTGGGCTCTTGAGGCTTGAATATGGAGGAAGTCTCGAGCGGGAGCATCGTCTGTGAGTGAATTGCGAGGAAGTCTCAGGCGGGAGCCCCCTCCCTATGGGGCCCGCACTTCATGTTGGTAATCCGAGCGGGTCATCCGAAACGTGTAACTGTCGTCATTTTTGGGCTCTTGAGGCCTGAATATGGAGGAAGTCTCGAGCGGGAGCCTCGTCTGTGAGTGAATTGCGAGGAAGTCTCAGGCGGGAGGCGGGGCCCCCTCCCTATGGGCCCGCAAACTTCATGTTGGTAATCCGAGCGGGTCATCCGAAACGTGTATCTGTCGTCACTTTTCGGCTCTTGAGGCTTGAATATGGAGGAAGTCTCGAGCGGGAGCCTCGTTTGTGAGTGAATTGCGAGGAAGTGTCAGGCGGGAGCCCCCTTCCGAGCGGGTCATCCGAAACGTGTATCTGTCGTCACTTTTCGGCTCTTGAGGCCTGAATATGAAGGAAGTCTCGAGCGGGAGCCTCGTCTGTGAGTGAATTGCGAGGAAGTCTCAGGCGGGAGCCCCCTCCCTATGAGGCCCGCACTTCATGTTCGAATCCGAGCGGGTCATCCGAAACGTGTATCTGTCGTCACTTTTGGGCTCTTGAGACCTGAATATGGAGGAAGTCTCGAGCCGGAGCCTCGTTTGTGAATGAATTGCGAGGAAGTCTCAGGCGGGAGCCCCCTCCCTATGGGGCCCGCACTTCATGTTCGAATCCGAGCGGGTCATCCGCAACGTGCAACTGTCGTCACGTTTGGGCTCTTGAGACCTGAATATGGAGGAAGTCTCGACCGGGAGCCTCGTCTGTGAGTGAATCGCGAGGAAGTCTCAGGCGGGAGCCCCCTCCCTGTGGGGCCCGTTTCCCCCTCCCTATGGGGCCCGCTTCCCCAGGCGCTGGCCGAGGCGGCGACGGCGCTGAGGAAAATGGATTTGCTTGCCCCGACGAGGGGGAAGGGGAGGTGCACATGGAGAAAAGGCAGGGGGATGAGGAGGGAAGGGGCATGGGGGAGGCCGACGACGAGGAGGAGGTGGCGCGAGAGGAGGAGGAGGAGGAGGAGGAGGAGGAGGAGGAGGAGGAGGAGGAGGAGGAGGAGGAGGAGGAGGAGAAAGAGGAGGAGGAAGAGAAATTGAAGGGGGAAGAGAGGGCAGTGCAGGGGGCGAGAGGAGAGGGTGTCCGCCAGGGGGAGGAGGAAAGGGCAAAGGGTAAGCTAAACAGATTCTCATGTGGGGTCCTACCGTCGGAGTAATTTGACAGGGATGATGGGCTTGCGCGCAGCAGGGAATATGCTGGCACCCCGTGTCACCCGTGTCAAGAATCAATGTTACTTGATCGCTTGGTGCCCACGCAGGATCCAAACTTTGCCGCAACGTGCACTTCGTATTGGCGGTTTAGGTGGACGGTTGGGGGGTGCTGACATTGCACACATCCCAAAATATCGCAGTCCTCCCCACCCGCTGCTCTTGCCAAAAACACATGCAAAGTGATCGCGGAGCGTCCGCGCATGATCCAGATTGGGGTGCAAATTGCACTTTGTCTTGTTTTTCGCCGGGGATGGTGGCAGGGGTTGGCTTTGCAGCCAGAAAGCAATATGCGCCCCCCCCCCAAATGCCGTCCCTGTCGACAACAAATGCCAAGTGATCGCGGTGCGTCCGCGCATGGTCCTGATTTGTTAGCAAACTGTAGATAGTTTCGTCTCTGACAAGGATGAGGAGGGGGGCTCATGGGTCCGGATTGGCTGCTGGTTGGGTGGGGGAGTTAGTATTTAACAAAAGTGCGCAGTGATCAAGACACTCCTCCCAGACGCAAACCGTGGTTCCTTCCCACCCGCCTTCCGAACACATTAATAGTATCCACATCTCAGCATATTCAGCGGTCGTCTGTGGATGGACAGCGGCTGGGAAGCATTGCAGACCCCAGGCGCGCGACGTTGGGGCGAGGTGCGCCACGCGCACCAGGCGTGCCAGGCGCCCCTGAGGACCAAGCATACCAGGCACGCCTGGTGCGCAAGATGTGCCACGTGCTCCGCGTGCGCCAAATGCCTCATGCTCCACCCGCGCCATGTGCGCCACCATTCGGGGCATGTGCAGAGTGTGTCAGGTGCGCTTGCGCACATCGGGAAACATGGCGGCCTCCACCACCCTTGCCGAAAACCATGAAATATGTCCGCCTCCACCATCCCTGTCGAAAACCAATGAGCAATCGCGGCAGAGTGGCCATCATGATGGCTGGTGGACCTGCACATAGCATGCAACGTGCCAGCACCCCCGCCGTCCCAGTCAAACCAAATTCAACTTGATCGATGGGTGATCGCACACGATCCAGATTTAGCCGCGAAGTTAAGTTTATATTTGTTTGGCTTTAGGGTGGTGGCCCTGCGCGCAGCCGGCCATATGTTGGCATCTCCGCCGTCCTTATCCATAAACAGCAGAAATTGTCTGAGGGCCCCCGAGCATGACCCAAGATTTGGCCGCAACGTGCACTTAAGCATTTCTTCGACAGGGTTGATGGGCGATGTTGGCATGGCACCCTGCAGGTAATATGCCGGCACCCCCGCCGTCCTTGTCAAAAACCTATGCGAAATAATCGCGGGGCGCCCGCGCATGCTCCACATTGGCAGGAAAAGTATAGATTGTATTGTTCTTAGACAGGGATTGTGGAGGGGTTGGCTCATGGGTCCTGGCTGGCTGCCAGTCGTGTAGGGGAGGGAGTGCTCATAAATAGGGGGGAGCCATGATCAACGCCTCCCCGAGAGGGAAGAGGGAAGAAGGAATGGGAAATTCGCTGAACCACCCACGCCCTAAAGGACTGGCGGGGCTAGCGACGCCGCGGATCCACGAAGTACTATCAGTATGACCTCCGCTAGGACGAACACGAGCCACTGCACCAACCTGCCTGGACAGCAGGCACGACAAATAGCATCAGTGAGCCATTTGACTACGATTAAAACGACCAACCACAACCAATAGCATCAACGCCCAACTATCTAGCATCATCGAACCACTAGGCGAGCACCTGCCGCCGACGGGAAGACCACGAGGTGCAGGTGTACCCGCTGGAATGTGTTAGCCACCTTGAGCCCGCATAGTGTGTTCTAGCATACTATATGGCGCAATATTTGTGAACCTAACTGGTGCAATTAGATTTGGAAAGCTTGGAGTTGTCAACTGCACTTCCCGAGCAATCATCCCAGCCACCCACCCGCAACTTAGTTTGCAAAGCCAATGCGGCGGCGATTACGATGACTGCTCGGCGCTGGCTGGCGCATCGCTGCGGCCAGCTCGGCTAACACGCCCGACGCGGCTGCGGTGGCGTTGACCACTGGGGAAGTCCCAGCGCGGCTCGCAAGCCGCGCTGACGCTCGGGCACTTCAGTGCGAGTCAGTGATTCGAGCGGGCGCGGTATCACGGTGACGCTGGCCGACAACCGTGGACACGATGGTGATAGTAGAGGTGATGGTGACGATGATGACGATGGCGGCAACGCCCATGACAACACCGATGCTGGTCACGCCAGAAACAATGATGATGCCTACGCGTCGGTGATGCAGGTGTTGTAAGGAGTTTGGCATGCGAGGGCGGCCGACGCGCACGAATGAGCGGCCCGCCTGGTATTCTTTTCAGGGACCGTGCCCCCCCCCCCCGCAAGCGCGCAAGGGCGTTCGAATGATTTCGACATGCGCGCGCGGGAGGACCGCATAATCTCAGTTGTCGACAATGTTCAAAACCCGATGGTTTGCAAAGAAGTCGCGCGCGCGCAGATTGATTCGAAAAACCATGATGCAATACCAGTGTTTGTACATCTTTTGGTCGGCAACCCCAATCTTGGAGTCAGTACGGAAAAATGATTGCGACATGTGCGCGCGACACCGCGCACGTGGGGACTTTGTCCCAATTGTGGCAAGGGAATTTCGAACTTGGACGAGTCTTGGCAAATTCGTGCATCGTTTTATTTAGCAGGAGTCAAGCGGGATCGGTAACGGAATGCCTTACAGGTACGAGTTCGCATCTAAGATGAACGATAGGGCAGAATCAGATGTAAGTTGTTGTATCCCAGGGGCACCGATGAACCTGGAGGGGGTATTAGAACAGAGAATCTACGCTGTGCAATCTATGCAGTGCGCGGGCGGCGACGAGGCGGCGACGGCGGCCACATGGCGGCTAGCGGCCCGCAAGCCCAGGTGACGGGCGGCGACGAGGCGGCGACGGCGGCCACATGGTGGCCAGAGCGGCCCGCAGGCCCAGTTCCTTAGAAGATATGCTAGAACCCCAAAGTGCAAGCACTGCCTGGGGAATACATAACGATGTTGTATATAGTTGAAAGTATACAGACATTTATGCATTCGACAAATAAAGTACCCCGTGTTCTTGGTCTGTAGCTTGCGCAGCATAACGTATGTGGGCCAGTGTCTGTTTGCATGGACTTACCTGCGAAGTACATCGGCGCTCTCCGTCATCTCAGCTTCCATAGCATCGCGTCGTGGAGGTCGGTTTGCGCCATGGCGCACGTGGTTTTGCTGTTTGGAATTTGTGTCGGGGCCACCATGTGGGTGCTAGAAGCATTGGAGGCGCGCTGTATTTCCATGAGTACGGGACACGAGATGTAGTGCAGCAGCCATTGGATGTTCGTCATGGTTGACATCGTTACATGGGTGGTAGTTATCGGATGTCTGCAATTCCCCACACGATGCGCAAGGGAGATGCAAGGCATGATTACAGAAAGTTTCGGCGGGGAGATGCCTACAAGCCATTAGGTTGAAGGTCTCAGCTGCTGGGCATCTCGGATGTGGTCTACTTTCGATGTTGTTTCTAGATGGACCTCACGTTTTCAGGAGATCGCATGTAGGGCCTGTTTCCCGATGCGCCTAGGCCACTCGTAGGGCTCTCGAGGCCAAGGCTCACACTCGAAGGCTGGCAAGACAGTTGCACACACCAATCAAACTTCCAAAAGTTCGACGCACAAAAAACCTGCGTCAACATAATTTGTCAAAGGCACGGCGAGGGTTTCTTGGATCGGCGCTGGGCTCCCCTGGCGGCGCCCCCGGCGCCGCCCCTGACCCACTCCGCGCGCCAGGAAGGGTGGGTCCGGCGACGATCCAAGAAATCCGCCTGGAGCTCCGAGAAGTTATGCTTATGCCGTGCTTGGTTCCTCTAGGACTGTGTTTCCCATCGGTCACGCTGCCGCCCCAGAGCGCTCCAGTACTGAAGTCCTCGGTGGTGTTGCCGCAGCCGGACCTGCCCAGACTTGAGCAGATTGCTCTGGCCAGGTAGCGAACAGCTTCTGGTGACCAGGACGACCCCCCCCCGACCGGGGAAGGGAACAAAGGGAAGGGGAAACCCTTCGAGTCAGTTTACTTCACGCAGGAGGAAGAGATGAAAGGAGGAGGAGGAGGAAGAGGTCAAGGAGGAGGAGCCAGGCCAGTGTCGACGGCCGTTTTTGTTGTGCATGGATGCTGGCAGGTGCCCATCTTGACGGCTGGACTCCATGGCCTCGGGTATGGCTCGGCCCGGGAGTGTCTTCCGAACGTGCGGGTACCGCGCGGGCCTCTCCGCACGGGCCTCCTCGCTGTTTTGCGCACTCGCCCCAGCGCGCGAGCGGTGACGGTGGAGCAGCGCTCTCCAGGACGAGAGGAACCAGAAGAAGCAGAAGGAGCTGGCGCAGCGAAGGGAGGAGGAGCTGCAGGTCCAAGGGAGGGGCTCCTCAACTGCAGCTCCTCCTCCTCCTCCTCCTCCTCCTCCTCCTCCTCCTCCTCCTCCTCCTCCCCCTCCTCCTCCTCCGCCTCATCCTCCGCCTCATCCTCCTCCTCCTCCTCGTCCTCCTCGTCTCCTCGTCATCCTCCTCCTCCTCCTCCTCCTCCTCCTCCTCCTCCTCCTCCAGGCGCCTCCCGCCCTCTCACCGACGCACGCCGATGCCCACTGGCCGTCAGTGAGGGTCTCAGGCACCGAGAGTAGTAGCAGTTGCAGTAGTAATAGCAGTATCAGCAGTAGCAGTAGCTGAGGTTTGCTGTGGATGAACTCCCTTTCGGCACGCTCCGCCTCCTCATCCTCCTCATCCTCCTCCTCCTCCCTCCTCCTCCTCCTCCTCCTCCTCCTCCTCCTCCTCCTCCTCCTCCTTCTCCTCCTCCTCCGCGATCGCGGGCACCACGGATACTAGGCCCGTCTGCGATCGGGCACCCTTGCAGCACCAGGGCCAGGGATTCCGACGGAAATCTTGGGGCACTTTACGAGGGCTTCAGACCGGCGGGAGGTGCACCCTTCGAACGTGTGACAGCAGGAGGTCTTCCCGCACACGTCCGTTGTGCCCAGGGAGGTTCAAAGCACGCGGTGTGGCCTTTAACCGAGCGAGAGTTCCGCGCACATCAGGAACGCGTCAATCCCCGATAGCCCACGGATCGCCGATGCTGATGGCCCCACCCCGCCCAGGAGCGTGCGGAGTTGCTGCCGATGGCCCATCGCCGATCTGTCGGCGATGCCTCGCCGGGCTCCAGAATTATGTAGGTAGCCTCAGTCTGACTCCGTTTGGGGTGGTCGGTCCTGCTGCACTGGCCTCTACTTCCAGGTTTGTAAACCTTGTTTTCCACATGTTTGCGTTGTCTCCTCCTAGCAAAAACTCCTCATCATCCTCCTCATCATCATCCTCTTCCTCTTCCTCGTTCTCCTCCTCCTCCTCCTGTTCTCCCTCCTCTTCCTCCTCTTCCTCCTCCTCCTCCTCATCATCATCATCGTAGTGCTATTATTCCTCCTCCTCATCCTCCTCATCATCATCATCATCATCATCCTTTTCTTCCTCCTCCTTCTCCTCCTCCTCCATTCCTTTTCCTTATAAATCACTTCTCCCTGTCGCATCCCGACGCCAATTTTTAGGGCGGGCCGGGCGTTTCGCCTGAGACGTCCTCACCATTTATGATTCCGAAGCTTAGAGAGTGACAACAGTTTCACAAATAAAGGGCGGGTCGTTTTCAAAGTGCGGCTCTCGCCTTAGCGCGGCGCACACTCGTATTAAAATATGCAAGAGCCTCCCGGATTGAGGGCGGGTGGTTTTTAAAATGTGGTTATCGCTTTAGCGCGGCGTACATTCGTTTTTTTGTAAAATGTGCGAGAGCTTCACGGATGGAGGGCGGTTCTTTTTCAAAATGTGTTTCTCGCCTTAACGCGGCGCACACTCGTTGTTTTGTTTAATTGCAAGACTTTCCCGGGTTGAGGGCTGCTCCTTTTCAAAATGTGGTTTTCGCTTGAGCGCGGCGCACATTCGTTTTAAATATTTGCAAGAGCTTCACGGATTCCAAGCATCAACGTGCCAGAAATGATGTTTTGAAAGGGGTCAAGATTATGCGGGTGCAACAGTTCTGTTGGTTCGTTGTGTTGAAGTCTCAGGAATGGCGTTCTGGCACGATTCAGGATTGTCCAGACGCAACAGTCATGTTGATCCATGGTGTTGGAATCCCGAGAACAAAGTCTTGGCATGCTTCAGGGTCTTCAAACGGTTGTCTTCCAAAGAGGCAGTTCCTTCAATGGAAATGAACCGTTGTAGGGGCCTATGCCGAGGGAGCTTGGCGGGAGGGCTTATTCCAACATCGTTGACGGCTCTTGGGTTTACATTGGTTCTCCTCTTCATCGTCTTCCCCTTCATCATCATCCTCCTCTTCCTCCTCCTCCTCCATCATCCTCCTCCTCCATCCTCCTCCTCAGAGTCATCAGCATCATCAGCATCATCATCTTATCCCTCCTCCTTCTCATCCTCCTCCTCCTCTTCTTCCTCCTCCTCCTCCTCTGCCTCCGCCTCCTCCTCCTCCTCCTCATCCATCTCCTCCTCCTCCTCCTCCGCCCTCCTCCTCCTCGTCATCAGCATCATCATCTTCTTCCTTATCCTCATCCTCATCCTTCTTCTCCTCCTCCCTTCTCCTTCTCCTTCTCCTCCTCCTCGTCCTCCGCCTCCTCCTCCTTCTCCTCCTCATCATCATCATCATATCCTCATCCTTCTCCTCCTCCTTTCCTCCTCCTCGTCTCCTCCTCCTCGTACTCCTCCTCCTCCTCCTCCTCCTCCTCCTCCTCCTCCTCCTCCTCCTCCTCCTCCTCCTCCTCCACTTCCTCCTCCTCCTCCTCCTCCTCCTCCTCCTCCTCCTCCTCCTCCTCCTCCCTCGTCCTTCCTTTCCTCCTCCTCCTCCTCCTCCTCCTCCTCCTCCTCCTCCTCCTCCTCCTCCTCCTCCTCCTCCTCCTCAGCCGTTCTGGCCCAGGTGTTTTGGGCTTGCTGCAGCTGTCTTCAGAACGGCGCCGCTGCAGCGAGCCAACTTGGCTGACTGTGCACGCTCCCAGGGAGCGCAGAGATTCACAACGAGGAAGGTGCAGCGATGGCGCCCGAGCCGCCGCCCACTCCCACGGTGCTCCGTGGGCCGCGGCGGCCCTTTTGGGCGTGCGGGAGGTGCTCGGCGGCGGCGAACTGGGCATCTCGCATTCGCTGTCAGTGCGGGAATGAGGCGCCGCTTCGGATCAGGAACGAGGCCTGGAAGGCCCACAAGGCGGCGGTCGCTGCCTTGCCATCTGGTCAGTCGGGGGCGTCACCACCGAAGAACAAAGACAAGGATGACACCAGTAAGAGGCTCGCGGAGATGGAGAAGCTCATCAGGTCGTTCTGCAGCAAGGGGGAGCCGCCGCCTGCTGCCAGCCCGACCGTGGCTCCGTGGGCCCAGGCTACTAAGACGTCGGACATGGGCCCGCTGCTCGAGTCTGATGACGAGAAGGTCAAGCGTGAGAAGCTCACTGCGCAGCTGGGGCAGTACGAGTCGGTGCTCAAGAGTCTTCCTGGGCCCGATGAGGACCCCATTCGAGCTGCGACGATCGAGAAGATTAAGAGCATCCGGGAGCAGCAGAAGGCGCTGCGCACACCTGCGATTGCTCATCGCAGGACGGCCCAGGACTTGCACAAGGCCCGCCTGGCCCGTGCAAAGATGGAGGCCGAGATTGTGGAGAAGACCTCGCAGATGCAGAAGCTGCAAGAGACGATCGACGAGCGCAGGCTGCAGCTGGAGGCGAAGAAGCTCGAGATTGACAAGCTCGACGCGGAGTACAAGCGGACGGCTGCTCTCATTGCTCAGTCTGATGGGGAGCCGAAGCCGTCGGTCACGATCAAGCTGGAGATCAAGCCTGAGGAGTCACAGGATCCTGAAGTGCAGGCCTTCCTCGGGTCGGATAAGTGGGAGATACTCAAGCCGGTCATCCTCGCGAAGATCGGGCGGCCCTCGCATGGGGGGCACGACCATGCTCCTCCTGCTGCTGCTGAGCCTCCTGGGGGCGATGTGGCCGCAGGGGACGACGACATCGACATGGAGCAGCTCAATGGGGGCGACTTCGAGGCTCGAGCGGAGGCGTTCCGAGCCGCGGCAGAAGCCCTGCGAGCTGCTGAAGGTGCTGAAGCCCAGGCAGACGCCAAGCGGCAGCTGCTGCACGCCCAGGAGGCCCTCGGGGTCAAGCGGCGCAGGCAGGGGCTTTAGCAAGGCGGCCAGGCCACAGCGTGTGCAGCAGCTGTGGAGGCTGTGGACCGTCAACACGAGCGCCTGGAGCACGTTCCAGGGCCGCTTGGACTGGCAGAGGAGTTGGGGGGACGACGCTCGGCCCCATGTGTGTTTTGGTCAGGAACATCGGTTGAAGGATCTCACCAAAGTTCGCAGTGCGGCAGGCTGGCTCCGAGCTCGCGGCTATCACGGGGCTTTCGGCAGGGCGAAGTCCACGGGACAGCTTGCCACGGAGTCGCCAGGGGGAGTTCTGACGGCAGCGGCGTCACACATCGCTTTCGCAGGCTTGAGCCTCAAGCATCTTGGCGTCCAGGCTGGATATTTCTCGAGGCTGAAGCTGATTCGGGCCAACATGGCCTTCCCCCACGGCCTGCTGCTGGGCTCGGTCTACGGGTTCGTGGACGCGTCCGACAAGGTGTTCACATGGGACATGCTGGAGGACTTGGGAGTTTTTTTCTGCGTCGGTCCAGGTCACCGTGGATTCTTGCAGGGGACTTCAACTTGCCGCCAGATGATCTCAAGTTGTGCAAGTGGGTAGAGCTCCTGAAAGGCACGATCGTGGCCCCAAGAGGTCCGACTTGCTTCGCGTCCAAGGCGGGGTCCACGATTGACTACTACATTGTGAGTCAGGGGCTGGCCAACTTTGTCAGTGATGTTCGCACGATATATGGTACCCCCTCGGCGCCTCACGTCGCTGTTGCCATGCAGCTCAAGGGCCCCACGCTGAACATCCCGCTCCACGTTCGCAGGACATGGAAGCCCTTCCCCACTACCCTGCGGACGGGGCCTGTGCGGAAGCCTGCCGAGCACTGCTGGCCCTGGCCTGCAGGGGTACTCGCAGGGGTTCAGCTGGAGGATGCGTGGTGCCAGTGGCTGAGCAACATGGAGCTGGAGCTGTGCAACCAGTTCGACATCGTCGGAGCTGGGCAGAGAAGCTTCGTCGGCAGAGCTGACGGGTTCGAGCGTCGGCAGGCGCCTCTCTCCGCATCTGTGGAAAAGGCGGCGTTGTCTGGCAGTGGGGCCCAGATGCGAGCCTGGAGGTCGCTAGATGCCATACTATCCAGGTTCCAGGCGCTCCAGGACGACACCGTAGGTGCTAGCGATGAGGACGTTGTGCAGCCGACCTCTATGTGTTCAGGCGGAGCTTGCGATCGTCGTGAGACGCACACGGGGGCGCAACCAGCTGCTCCCAGTGCCGAAGGGCTTAGCACCGAGGGTCCGCCGCTTTCCTTGGGAGCCATGGGCTTTGTCTTGCCAGACTACACGTCGCCGCACTCGGGGCCGACGCCGCTGGCTGTTGTTGCGGCCTGTTCGTCGATGTCGGCGTTTTCTTTGTCTCAGATGCCATCCCAGGTGGGCTCTGCTGAGAAGGCTGAGTGGGACTTCGCGGACTGCCCGCATGGGTGGGGGAGGCCTGTGCCTGCTTGCGAGGTCCGTTCGGCTGGAGCGGAGGTCCACTCGTCGACAGACCTGGCTCCTGCAGACCCCCTGGGCCGTGAAGGTGGCCAAGGCCTTAAACCAGGGGAGCGTCTCAGGGGCCAGGTCGGAAGGCAGCAGGGCCGCAAGGGACGCGTCCGTGGCGATACCCGTCTTCGCCTGCTGGAGGAGCTAGACCACCTCGACCTGTCGACGCTGACGGGGGTCAAGTCCGTGGAGTTCGACCTGCACTCACTGCGCAGCGTTGCTGTAGCGGGTGGGGAGGATCTGGCCACCCTGGCGACCTACGTTCACCAAGCGGCTCTGGAGGCGTCCCAGTCGGCGGCAAAGGAGCAGCTGCAGGAGTGGAGAGAGTGGGCCCAGTCTGCGGTGAAAGCAGGTGGCCGTCGTGCTCACAGGTACCTGAAGGACCAGCCGCAGGTGAAAGGGCCCGCGGCTCCTGAGGGCTGGGCGCTGCAAGGGGACGCGGCCGTGCAGGCAATGCACACGGAGTGGCTGCAGTACTGGGGAGACGCCAAGGAGAGCATCTCACAGATCCAGGCAGCAGTCGCGCAGGATGATGAGTTGGTCAGGCCGTCTGCTGAGCGCGTTCGCGCGGTATGCCGTTCCTTTCCTCACCAGGTGGGCTGCGGGGTGGACTGCGTGAACCCGCGCTCCTTCGACCTGCTCGACGACGACTTCATGGAGAGGCTCGTGGACCTCATGGTGCTGCGGGAGGCCGACCCGCAGCTATCGGACAGATGGCCGACGCTGATGGTCTTCTTGGGCAAGCCTGACGGCTCAGGAGTCAGGCCGATCGCCCTCATCTGCTCCATCCTGCGTGTATGGGGCAAGGTGCGGCGAGAGGAGGCCAAGCTCTGGGAGGACCAGCACGCAGCTGGAGTCTTCTGGGGCGTGCGTGATCGCGAATGCGACCGAGCGGGCTGGGTGCACCAGACAATGGCGCACTACGCGCGCAGCAGGGGCATGCAGTCAGCTACGTTGGCCACGGACTTAGACAAGTTTTACGAGCGTATATGTCACGCGGTTTTGTTTGCAGAGGCGGAGGCTGTGAAGTTCTCGACCAGGCTCTGTAGAGCGGCATGCTCGCTCTACTCGGGGCCGCGCGCGGTGTCCTTCAATGGCTGCGTCTCCGTGGTCTTCCACGCCTCAGGCACGGTGCTGGCGGGCTGCTCGCTCGCGACGTGCCTGACGAGAGTCCTGCTGTTCCGCCTGCTCACCAAGGTCGAGAGCGAGCACCCGACGTCGATGGTGAGGAATGTGATAGACGACATCAGTGTGCAGTCCGTCGGCACGAGCCTCCACGTCGTCAGGGAGTTGGGCGGCGTCGGGAGCAAGCTGATCGATGGGCTGCGCAGGCTGCGTCTTGTGCTGTCGGAGAAAAATCACAGGTTCTAGCATCGTCGAAAGGGGTTGCCGAGGGACTGGCCAGGGCGTGGAAGGCGTCATTCGAGAAAAAGGCTGTGATTCGGAGTCTGGGGACTGATTGGCAAGTGAGCTCTTCTAGGTTGGCCCCCATTGCCTCCACCAGAGTTAGGACTTGCATGCGTAGGTCGGCGCGCCTCCGCTCTCTGAGGCGCGCTGGGGCCTTCGTGGGGCACATCCAGAGAGCGGGTCCTCAGGCCTCGGCGTTGTGGGGGGCCTCGGTGAGAGGGCTTCCTTGGTCGCAGTTGAAAAGGATCCGCACTCAGGCCCTCTTGTCTCTGGCTCCTGCGAAGAAGGGGGCGTCTGTGGGTTTAAAACTCCGCACGTTTAAGCAGGGTAGAACCATGGACCCCGTTCCGTTGCATTTCAAGCAGGTTGTTTTTGAATGGGCTCGGGCTGTCTGGGACGGACTCCCCAGCATAACGATCCTGCAGGCAGTTTTTGAGGACGCCGTTCGATCGCTTGCCACCACCAGTCGCCCGTGGTCGAGGGCGACGTCCCCTGCTCACGTGTTTGCGATTGCTTGTGGGGATCTGGGATTGGAAGCGAGATCGGCGCGCCTCATTGTTCTCTCGACGGGCGAGCAGGTTGACTTGCTCAGGCTCTCGCCGTCGGTTGCTGCCACTCTCGCCCAGCAGGCCGCCAGAGAGATGTCGGATTTTCGTGCCCTCGAGGCTCGTGTGGGTTCGTCGTCGTGGTGTCGCCCTGTGTTTTGGCAGCCGCTGGACTTCTTGTCCGCCAGGAAAAGCGATTCCTGGGACAGGACTCATAAGAATTCTCTCAGGGCCGCGGTCTCGGGGACTCACTGGACCCAGGACCATCTGCAGCGGCACGGCTTGGTGTCGTGCAACCTTTGCAGGCTGTGCATGGGGGCCCCAGGGACCACGTTCCACCGTAGATTTGTTTGCGAGGCTTGGGCTGCTGATCGCTCTCATTATTTGTCTGATGAAGCGTTAGCTGCAGCCAAGCTAATTCGGCAGCTGGGTGACCCTGGGGAATTTTTTGCTTCGGGCATTTTCCCGTCTCCCAGGGAGCTGGCCCCCCCGCCTCTTGGGTCCGAAAGGTGCCAGGTCTTCTGGATTCGCAGGCCCGAGGATGGCCTTTCATCTGGCAAACTTTTTACCGATGGCTCTGCCATTTCCCCCTCGGACCCGCCCCTAAGAAGAGCAGGGTGGGCGGTGATCTCGGTCGATGACACTGGCGCCATGATCTCCGGAGCTTTCGGCCCCGTCCCGTGGGATGTTGCTCCTCTCCAGCCCGCCAAGGATGGCGAGGATTATGCGTATCAGATGCTCGGCCAGATTGCTTTGGACCCCGAGAGAGTTTGGACCGATTGTGCAGCTACGATTTCTTGTGCTCGGTCGAGAGTTCGCTCCACGAGTGCCCGTTGTGGCCAGGCTCGCATGTGGACCTCTGTGCATGCGGCCTTCGAGGATGGGCTGGTTGTCCATAAAACGAAGGCCCACTGCACGGAGGCGGACGTGGAGCGAGGAGTCACCACTCGTTGGGGGCGCAAGGCTAACGCCATTGCCGACGCCCTCTCGAAGCGAGGGGCAGGTAAGCATCCATCGGTCGATCAGGCCGCCCGTGAAATCGCTGGTTTAAGACTCTTGGGGCGGGAGTTGGGCCGGTGGGTGGGGCGGCAGGGGCTTCTGATGCGGGAGCGGGGGTGGGAGGACTCGGAGGGCCTGCCTGATAAGCGCCTGGAGCCTGGTTTGGGCCCTCGCCAGGGCCGCCCCCTTGAGCGCCCCATCCCCCCCGTGTCTGCGCGGTTCAGGGCCGTGCTTTCCGCCATTGCCCATTCGGGGCCGTGTGACCCCGAGCTGTCAATTTTGATGAGGCTGTCTCAGCATAACTTGCGAGTGCGCCATGTTTTTGATCAGACGGGAGCATCCGTTGTCTCCGCCCCGCGCATTGCGCGCTGTATTTCGTGCGGGGCGTACGCGCGGGGCGGGGTCAGGGAGCTCGCCGTTCGAGAGTGTCACGGTCACAATGCGGGGAAGGGGCTCAAGCAGCAGCGATCGCGGTTGGTCGCGGGCCTCTTTCCCAGGTGGCTGAGTAGGTACAAAGGCTGGAGTGTGAGTTGTCTCGAGCGCCCCGCCCCTGGAGATCTCCTGGACTTGGCTCGGGCGATTCTCGACCGCCCCCAGGCGCGTGCGACGGCGCCTGCCTCCAGAGCCGTTTTCCCCGGGGGACCGCCATGGCAGGTGCCCATGGGGCGAGGGCCTCTCCTCGCCCGCTTCGGCCTCACGGTGGACTCGCTCCCGTTCTGGGAGCAGGAGGCCGCCCGTCGGGGCGCGGGGGAGGAGGAGGAGTTGGTTTAATTTGTTTCCGTTTTTATCCTCGCGGTCGGTATCTTGGACGCCGTCCGCCCTCGTCTTATCTTACCTCCTCCTCCTCCTCCTCATCATCATCATTCCCCTTCTCCTCTTCCTCCTCCTCCTCCTCATCCTCCTCCTCATCCTCCTCCTCCTCCTCCTCCTCCTCCTCCTCCTCATCCTCCTCCCCCTCCTCCGCCTCTTCCTCATCATCATCCTCCGCCCGTTTCTCTTCCTCGTCCGTTTCTTCGCCGCTTCTCGTCTTTATTGGCATCACCTGTGTGTCTCCCCCTCCCCTATCATCGTTCCACGTCCCACCTCCTCGCCCCCCCCCCACCCCCCCCCCCCCCCCCTTCTCACCATCACCACACACCATCCTCATCAGCAGCAGCATCCTTATCAGCAGCAGCATCATCATTACCATCATCAGCATCGGCATCATCATCATCATCATCATCATCATCATCATCGTCATCGTCATCATCATCATCATCAGCATCATCATCATGACCATCAGCATCAGCATCATCATCAGCAGCATCATCATCATAATCAGCAGCCGCATCATAATCAGCATCATCATAATATTCAGCCGCATCATCATCATAATCAGCATCAGCAGGAGCAGCATCATCAGCATCGTCGTCGTTACTATCACCATCATAGTAACCGTCATCGTCATCATGAGCAACAGCATCAGTAACAGCATCAGCAGCAGCAACAGCATCATCATCAGCAGCATCATCACCATCATCGTCATCATCAGCAGCAGCAGTATGTTCATTGGCATCGTCAGAACGGTAATCGTCAACATCGCAACCGTCGTCATCGTCATCACGATCACGATCATGGTCAGCATCACCATCAGCATCACCCTCATTGGCTTCACCCTCACCATCAGCCATCACCAGCCATCACCATCAGCAGCATCAGTAGCCATCAGCATTGTTGTCATCATCATCGCCATTATCATCACCATCATCATCATCAGCAGCAGCAGCTGCATCATCATGGCCTTTGTCATCGTCATTATGGTAATCGTCAGCATCGTAACCGCCGTCATCGTCCTCATGATCACGATCATGGTCACCATAAACATCAGCATCACCCTCATCGTCTTCACCCTCTTCATTAGCCACCATCAGCCATTATGTACCATAAGCAGCATCATCGTCGTCGTAATAATCATCAGCATCACCTCCATCCTTATCATCGTCCTCGTCCTCCGCTACCGCCTGTATGACGATTGGTTATTCCTCCCCCCCTCCCTCCCTCCTCATCCTCCTTCTCCTCTGCTCATCCTCACTCTCCTCCCTACTCCCTCATCCTCCTCCTCCTCCCCCTCCTCCTCGTCATCATCATCAGCATCATCATCAGCATCATCATCAAAATCATCATCAGCGCCATCATCAGCACTATCGTCGTCATCATCAGCAGCAGCGCCACCATCATCATCAGCAGCATCATAATTGTCATCTTCTCCCTCCTCCTCTTCTCCCTCCCCCCTCGTCCTCCCAGTCCCTGGTGACAGGTCGAAAGCCTCCGCAAGCAGATGTACCTTTCAGGCTCGCCCCCCCCCCCCTGGCGGTCGACGCCCAGGGACCCGCGAGGTCTGCCAGGGGCAGGATTGCCCGAGCGGGTCCGCTCGGACTCAGAGGTACGTGTGGCCACAGCATGAAGGAGCGTGGGGAGGAGGCGGAGGAGAAGGAGGAGGAGGAGGAGGAGGAGGAAGAGGAGAGGGAGGAGGAGGAGGAGGAGGAGACGGAGGAGAAGTAGGAGGAGGAGGAGGAGGAGGAGGAGACGAGGGCTTCAGTCGCTCGTTCGACAAGACAGTCCGCATCGCTGAGTCGCTGAGTAGCTGGAGGAGGGAGGAGGAGGAGGAGGAGGAGCAGGAGGAGGAGGGGGAGGAGGAGGAGGAGGAGGTGGAGGAGGAGGAGGAGAGGAGGAGGAGGAGCGAGAGGGAGGGAGGGGGAGATGGAGGGGAAGCGGCAGAGGCAGGCAGAGGATGGGGAGGGGATGGTGAAGAGAAGGAGGAGGCGAGGAGGAGCGAGATGGAGAGGGAGGGGAGAGGGAGAGGAAGAAACAGAAAAAGAGAGAGAGAGAGAGAGAGAGGAGAGAGAGAGAAAGAAAAAGAGAGAGAGAGAGGAGAGGGAGAGGGGGAGGGAGGGGCGGACGAGGAGGAGGAGGAAGCGTGGGCCAGGGGCACGCGCTCGTTCGCGCCCTGTCCCCCCTTCCCCACGGCCCCTGCTCCCTGCTTCCTCCCCGCCCGGGGCAGGTCTGCCCACGACAGGCCTGCGCCGCCTCGGCGGCACGGCGATGCCCGCCTCCTCCTCCTCCTCCTCCTCCTCCCTCCTCCCTCCTCCTCCTCCTCCTCCTCCTCCTCCTCCTCCTCCTCCCTCCTCCTCCTCCTCCTCCTCCTCCTCCTCCTCCTCCTCCTCCTCCTCCTCCTCCTCCTCCTCCTCCGCCTGAGCACGCCGTGCGGGGGCCCCGTCTCGGGCCAGGGGCCAGGGGCCTCCCAGTGGCACCCCGGTGGCGACGGTCGCACGCTTCCGCCCCACCCAGTACAGCGTTCGTGGCCCCCCAGGGAGCTCCACCGAAGGCCCCAGTGGCGACGTTCGCGTGCGTCCGCCCCGCCCAGCACAGCGCTTCGTGCCCCCCTAGGGAGCTCCACCGAAGGCCCCAGTGGCGACGTTCGCGTGCGTCCGCCCCGCCCAGTACAGCGTTTCGTGGCCTCCCAGGGAGCTCCACCGAAGGCCCCAGTGGCGACGTTCGCGTGCGTCCCGTCCCGCCCTGTACAGCTCAGTCTGGGTCAGGGACTGCGGCCCGCAGGCCGGAGGGGACCCGCACGACTGGGCCGCTTCTGTGTGCTGGGCTGCTCTGAGTGCGTCCTCCTGCCGCTGCCCAGGAAGCCCTCGAGACGCCACACGAGGCCTCCAGGCGTGGTGTGCCCTGGGGCCTGCAGGACAACGACCCACGGCGCGAACTCTCTATCTGCAAGAGAGAGAGAGAGAGTTGAGGTCGAGAGCTCTTGGTGACCTCCAGGAGCGGAGATCCCTCAAGGTTGAACAGCCCACATGGCGTCAGAGGAGCACAGGGGCCCACGTCGCCAGGCCAGGAACCTGCCGCTGCACACCCCGCAGGTGCGCGAAGCTCGCCGCGCTCGCGGCCCGGGCCACGGAGCTGCACCTCGCCAGTCGGGGGCAGCCTTCGGCGGCGGCGGCGGCGGGGGCGGCGGCGGCGCCCGCGCGCCCAGGCCAGGGCAAGGCCAGCGACCTGAAGACCACCGGAGCTGCGGCGGAGGCCGCCCTGAGGCGGGGCGCCCGGGGGCCGTCGTCTTCGCCGTCGTCGCCGTCCTCGCCCCCGGGCAGCCGACACCCCGAAGAGGTCGAGGAGGCTGGGCAGAGGCGATTCGTGGCCTCGGGGCTGGAAAAGTTGCCCTGGGGGAAGGGGCACGAGGTCTGGGGCCCCACGCATCGAGAGCATCAAAGTGTTGGATGTTTGGTCGTCGCCGTCGCCATCGACCCAGGAGGAGGAGGAGGAGGAGGAGGAGGAGGAGGAGGAGGAGGAGAGGAGGAGGAGGAGGAGGAGGAGGAGGAGGAGGAGGAGGAGGAGGAGGAGAAGGAGAAGGAGGAGGAGGAGGAGGAGGAGGAGGAGGAGGAGGAGGAGGAGGAGGAGGAGGAGGAGGAGGAGGAGGAGAGGAGGAGCAGGAGGAGGAGGAGGAGGAGGAGGAGAAGGAGGAAAGAGGAGGAGGATCGGATCAGATCGGCCCTCCACGAAGGCATGCGCATTCCCTATCAGCTGGGCGAGTGCCGAGCCTACTTGGGCCCTACGAGGGGCCAGGGCGGAGCCCAGGGACAAATGCCCCAGGACATTGCCGAGGTAGAAACTCGAACCGAAAAAGCAAAAAAAGAGCTCGCCTGTGAAATAGGCCTCGACGGAGTGAGGAGGAGGAGGAGGAGGAGGAGGAGGAGGAGGAGGAGGAGGCCCGCCTGCTTACATGCTACACTATAAAGTGGTAGCTCAGGAATGGGTTGCACTCGCTGGGCAACAAGATCCTAGAAAGAGGGCGAGGAGGTAGGAGGAGGAGGAGGAGGAGGAGGAGGGAAAGGAGGAAAAAGAAGGAAAAGGAGGAAAAGGAGGAAAAGGAAGGAGGAGGAGGAGGAGGAGGGGGGCAGGGGCAGGGGGAGGGGAGAGGGGGAGGGGAGGGGAGAGGGGGAGGAGGGAGGAAGAGGAAGAGGAAGAGGAAGAGGAAGAGGAAGAGGAAGAGGAAGAGGAAGAGGAGGAGGAGGCGGAGGAGGAGGAGAAGGAGGAGGAGGGGCAGGAGGACGAGGAGGAGGAGGAGGCGGAGGAGGAGGAGGAGGAGGAGGAGGAGGAGGAGGACGAAGAGGACGGGAGGCTACGAACGACGTTCTTCCCAGCCACTAGGAACAAGGAACCAGGAGGAGGAAGAAAAGGAGGAGGAAAAGGAGGAAGAGGAGGAGGAGGAGGAGGCGGAGGAGGAGGAGGAGGAGGAGGATGAAGAGGACTGGAGGCTACGAACGACGTTCTTTCCAGCCACTAGGAACAAGGAACCAGGGGGAGGAGGAAAAGGAGGAGGAAAAGGAGGAAGAGGAGGAGGAGGAGGAAGAGGAGGAGGAGGAAGAGGACGACGACGACAACGACGACGACGACGACGACGACGACGGGAGGGTCAGCAGCAACGCCAGAACCCAGCACGGGGCCAGAGCCGGCGCAGCGCGGGGCGTTCCGACAGCGGGCGGGCCCCGCGGCGGCGCCGCGCCCTGGCGGGGGCGAGCCGTGAGGCCAGGGGCACAGACGAGGCCAGGAGGCGCCGCCCCAGAGAGGTGGGCCATCGCCACCCCAGAGCGGCGGGTGGCAGTGGGGGATGGGTGACTTACGGGGAAGTGAAGACAGGGGCCCTTCAGGGCCCCGTTTGGCCCCTGCGAGCTCCAAAAGGGGGCCCCCCGTGCCCCCCCGGGGGCCCCTGCCTTCACCCCCCACACTACCACCCGCCCGACCAGTTCAAAGCCTTCGGGTGCCTCCGTTAGCTTTCGGCGCTTCCAGCCTCGGGATGACCTCCATCAGCTGCGCCTCGCCGAGGGTGCTCCGGGGGTGCCCGGATCCTCCCGAGCGGCCGCCCGGGAGTCGAGCTGCGAGCCGACAGCCGGCGGCAACGACGGCCGGGCGCCCGCGGCACGACGCGGCGCGATCCATGGCGCAGGGCGCGATCTGGCAAGGGCCCCGCTTGGTCGGCGCGGCGCGCCTCCCGCGGAGGGCCAGCGGAGGGCCAGAGCGGCGGCGAGCTCGCGGGCGGAAGCTCGGCGGAGGGCGGAATGAGCATCAAGTTTCGGAGCTCCGCGCGGATTCCTTGGATCTGCGCTGGGCCCCCCTGGCGGCGCCTCCGACGCCGCCCCTGGCGCGCTCAGCGCGCCAGGGAGGGGGGCCGCAGCGCGGATCCGAGAAATCCACGCGGACCTCCAAAAGCTTGTGTCTATGCCGTTATTTGCTCTTCCAGCGGAAGTTACAGTGAAGACGACTACATTTGGGGATCCAGGGGTTCCAGGGTCTGCCATGCGACCAGATGTCGCGCCAGCGCTCTGCTCTTTTGTGGCCGTGCGGGCGAGGCATCCGCACCTGTGTAACCGACAGGTGGCATCTGGATGCTCCACGTGTGAGTCCAGCCGTGCGTGCGTGTTCCACCTTCATCGTTGTAGCGTGGCCCCTCTTTTCTCTTCGCTTCTTCGTCTGCACTCCGACTGCTTCCACTCGCTCGTGCCAGGCGCCAAGCGGAGCGAGCGCTCATCGATTTGGAGTGTGCTCACCTGGCTTCAGCTGCCTGCCGAGACCAGGGGCCGCGGCAGTTCGCACAGGAGGGGGAGGGTCTGGCGGAGTATCACGTGGGTTGTCCGTCGCAGAGGCTGCCGCAGAGTCCAGGCGCGCAAGCGGCAAGGCCATGACCGAGAAGCTGCCAGCTCTGCCGAAAGACATCCTTGCCAGATGTGTTCATCAAGCCTGCTGAACACGATCCTCGGGCCATGCCTGGCCAAGCTCTTCTCAGCAGATTGAAGAAATCTTCACACATCTTCAGTGAATCTTCAGGAGGAAGAGAAAAAAAAAAAAAAAAAAAAAAAAAAAAAAAAAAAAAAAAAAAAAAAAAAAACTATTAATCGTCGATTTCCTAGAAAATATTGGAAGTGGGGGGGAAGACAAAAGCCAATAAAACATGGGAAAGTATAGGGGAATCGTGTTATTTGTGTGTGTATTTGTTTGTGTGTCCTTGGGCCCCTTGAAACCTGCATTGTCGCAAGCATGCTCGGGAAGACCACTCGGCAGAAGCGGCCCTGTCCCCGCGGGCCACCGGGAGGCCCACGGTCTGGGACGCTCGCTTGGTGCATGCCGCGCCGCCGGCTCTGGCCCACCGCGCGCCGGCGCGACGCGCCGACCACGCCCCACAGTCGAGTCGGGCGTGCCCCTCCACAGGAGGAGTATTCGGGGGTGGACAGACCTCCTACCCTGACACGTCGATTAAGGAATTGGCCGTTTTCGGTTCGCGAGAGGGCGTCGCGGCCGTCATGTTTGCGGCGGGTCCAGCTCCGTGGGTTTCGGTCCCAGGCCGTTTTCACTAAGGGGAGGTTTACTAAAGGGAGGTTTGTCCAGCCCCAAAATATTCACAAATAGTCCAAAGATAGTCTGGGGACGACTTTTTGTGAGTAGTTTTCAGTATTGATGTGATATGCTTTACCTATCTGTTGTTCTTCGTCCCAGATCCGCCTGTGGGAGGGCATGCCCGACCCAACACAAGCCTCTTACCCGGCTGGTCGGTCCGGTCTCTGGCGCTGCGGTCTTGTCAGGCAGGTCGGGGCCGGTCGGTCTGCGAGCGGCATCGCAGGCCCAGGCTGGTCGGACACCGTGTCCGGGAAGCCGCGGGAAGTGCTCTTGCAAGAGTTTCCACGGAGCGGGGCTGCGGCAATGCCAGACCCCCTCGAGTCATGGAAGAATCGCGACGCAAGGTTCTTCGCTATTTTCGGACTCTGGGGGCCTTTGCAGGGCCGCGAGACCGTCAAAAAACGGCTCAAGATGAAAAACGGGTCCCTGGGAATGGGTCGAGATTTCTGGGGGTCGACGTCATGAAAAAATCATGACGTCGGGGGTTCGGGATGCGGGGCCTGTCCGGCCTGGCGCCGGGCCGGCTGGTCCAGTTGACGCGCTGGGCCAGTCTTTTTTGAGGATGGTCCCAGCCCCCAAGCGTCAGCGTCTCGAACTGCTCCCGGCCTCCCCCCACGCGGAGCGGAGCGACCCGCTATCCGCTTGCAGGGCATAGCGTGTCGCCGAGGCCGCCGCCGAGACACGCTAAGCAGAAGTTACCCGCCCGTAAGTGTCGAGCTCTTTTAAGTCAGTATCACCACCGGGCCCTCCTGTGGATTTTCGCCACTCACCATGTTTTCCTGCTCCTCCTGAGTCGTCCAGGGCGACGGTGGCGCGCGCACGCCCTAGCTTGCATTCAGACGGGCCTTGTTCTGGCCGCCTCGACGTTTCGAGGGGAGCCGGTGCCACAGCGTCCCGTGGCCAAACGTTGTGTGTGCTGCCAGCGGCCACTCTGCCGCGAACTGCTTGTGTCGAGATGGCTGGAACGTCGTTTCAGCAGGAGGCGGAAGACGAGGGATCTGATCGAAGACGCCTACTGAAAATCATCACCGCCCCCTGCCTCTTGGAAACGCCAATTCAGCCAAACGTTGGGCCGAAGTCTGGCCAAGCTGTTGAACCATGTGTTCCCCCATCCGGTGTGGAAACCCTTGGGGGGAAACCGGGGAGAGGAAGAGAAAGGAGGCGGAGAGGGAGGAGAAGGAGGAGGAGGAGGAGGAGCAGGAAGAGGAGGCCTCTTGAGGCCCTCTTAGGGCCTCCCTGGGGCCTCTTGGACGTCTCCTGGGCCTCTTGGCGGCTTCTTGGGCGCCTCTATGGGACCTCTTGGCCTTCGGAGGCCGTCTTGGGGCCCCCCCTGGGCAGTCTTGGGTCCAACTTTGGCCGCTCTCGGGCCGTCTTGGAGGTCTCTGGGGCCGTCTTGGGACCGTCTTGGGGGCCTCTAGGGCCGTCTTGTGGGCCTCTTGGGGTCCTCTTTGGCCGTCTTGCAAAGCTATCTGGGGCCTGCGAGCCCGTCTTGGAGTGTCGGAAGCCCGAGAAGGCGAGAACGCTAAAATCAACGAAATTTCTTAGCCAGCGGGCGCAAGAGTGCGAAAGCGGTGCAGGCGCCGGTCGGGCTACGGGCGGGACACGCTAGGAACCAATTGAGGCACAGGCCTGGAAAGGGAAGAGAAGAGAACAGCGGCAGGGCAAGAGCCGCTCAGAACATGCAGGCCGTAGCGGGGGTGCCGATTATACAAGGCGCCGAGGCGCGGCTGTGACACCGTGAAGGGGGTAGGCCTTGAAAAGGTACATGAACGTGAAGTGGTCCCAGGTGCACTTGGACGGGTAGGGCTCCGACGCAGCAATGGCCGAAGCCGAGGACCATGAAGAGGTAGCCCAAAATCAATGAAAGACACAATGAACATCAAGGATTTGAGCCTCCTGGAGGTCCTCCTGGAGCCCTCTTGGGGCGTCTTAGGGGCCTCTTGGGCCGTTTGGAGGACATCTTGGGCCTTCGTTGGGCTATCTTGGCCGTCTCGGAGGCCATCTTTGCCGTCTTGGAGGCATCTTAGCGGCCGTCTTGGGACGATTTGTTGTGCACGCTGAAATCTTGACGCGGCTCTCCCGATGGCCAGCGGGTTGGGCCGAAGGCACACGGAAACGCTTTTAGAAATAACCAGAAAAATCTAGAATGTGGCACGCCGTGCACCTCTGCCTGGCAAACCACAGAGGGCGGCGGATAGAAGACGCCTGCGGCGAATCGCCGCCGCCCCTTTCTTTTTGGAAGCACCTATCTGGCCAAGCATTGCAGCCAGAGCTCAGCCAAGCTATCGGACTACGTGTTCCCCCAGCCGTCGTGGAAACGCTTCGGGTCATACGTGGGAAAGAAGGAGGAAGAAGAAGAAGAAAAATAAGAAAACAAGAAGAGGAGGAGAGGAAGGAAAAAGGAGGAGGAGGAGGAGGAGGAGGAGGAGGCCTCTCGGGAGCCTCTTGGGGCACTCTTGGGCCTCCTTGGAGCTTCCTGGGGACTTCCTGGAGGCCTCCTGGGGGCTTCCCTGGGCCCCTTTGGGGGGCCTCCAGAGCCTCCTTGGGAGGCTCTCTGGCCGTCCGAGGGCGCCCCTGGCCCGTCGAAGGCCGCCTCGGCGGCCTCTCTGGGCCGCCTTCGGGGCCCTCTTGCGGCGCTCCGGGGGCCGCCTCGGAGGCCCTCCGAGCTCCGAGCGCCTCTGACGGCGAGCTCTCCTTCGACGCCGTGGTCGGCGCTTCGGGCCACCGTCCACATGCGTCCCCCCACTCAGTACAGCGCTTCCTGGCCCCATAGGGAGCTCCACCGAAGGCCCCAGTGCCACCGTCCACATGCGCCCCCCCCATTCAGTACAGCGCTTCGTGGCCCCATAGGGAGCCCCACCGAAGGCCCCAGTGCCACCGGAGGCGCCGACCTGGGCCAGCGGTGGGGCCCTGGAGGGGCCCAGCGCCTCTGCGCTCCCCGCCGGCCCAGTCACTCGACGTCCTGATTTTTACCAGCCTCGAACGTAGCCCTATCCCTAAGATTGGCGCGCCAAAAGGCGATGACAATTTTCGGGACTCGCCCCCAAAACGTAAGGGAACCCCTCAGATTGGCATCGTGATGAGGAGGTGCCCAGCATAGGGATAGGGATATGTTCCAGGCTGGTAACTGATGTTTTGGTTCATGGGGCCCCGGATGGCCCGACCCCTTTCCCCAGGGGCTGGTGTGCCCCATGCGGTGCTGCTCTCGGGCCGTCCTGGGGGGGGGGGAGAGGGTCCCGGGGGCCCCGACAAACGACATGAAAGGCTTGCCCTGACTTGCCGGGTATCCCCTCGGCACGCCTCCCGCTTCACGGCCTCCCGCTCCCTGCCCTTGCCATCCCTGCCTCTGCCCTGCCTCGAGTCTGCCAGTGGCCAGTGGCCCCACTTGTGGCGTTGTTGTTGTGGCTGTGTTCTGAGTCCGCGCTGCTGGAGGCGTGTATTCGCTTGCATTGTTCTGGCCAAGTGAAGCTCGTTGTTGTTTTCGTTGTTTTTTTGTTTGGAGAGGGGGGGATGGGGGGGGGGGACGAGACTGCAGGGGGCGCTCCACTGCGTCCAGAAACTAGTCGGAGGTGGGCAGACACCCCACCCTGACACGTCGATTAGTGAATTGTCCGTTTTCAGTTCTCGTGAGGGCGCCGTGGCCGTCATTTCCCAGGCTTGCGCCCGCCAGGTTCGGGCCCGAGGTCGTGTTCGCTGAACCGCGTTTTGCGAAAGGGGGTTCTGTCCATCCCCCGAAAAAGGGCTCAGCCTCCACTGCGTCCAGACAATAGCTCGGCATCGCTCGGGCGCGTGCATCTTCTCGCGACGAGAACCATCGAGGAGCATCTTCGTTCACCGTGCGAAAAAAACGCACGCACGAAACCGAAAAAAGTGCACAGGGAATGGACGTCCGAGCGATGGCGAGATAGGGCTCAGCCCCCTGGTTCCGTTGCTGCCACAAGAGCGGCGGGGCGGGTCCCCGCGGGCAGGTCGGGTGGGCGGACCCCCCGGGGCGGGGCCGAGCTCCTGGCCCCCAGCGGGCGGGGCGGGGCGGGCTTCCGGGCAGGCGACCGTGATGAACCCGAGCAGGCGGGTCGGGCGGGCGGCCACCCCGACGGGCGGGGCGGGCGGGCGGGCCCCGCGAGCGAAAGTCGCGCGCGCTGGCGAACGAGTCGCAGGCGAGAGAGCGCGATGTCCCGAGCAGGTTAAGCGGGGAGGCCTCGTGCGAGAGCGCGATCTCTTGGGCGCCGAGCCCGCAGCGCCCGAGCAGGCTGCCAAGGTGAGGTTCGGGCGGGAGCGATGACTGCAGGAGCCGGAGGCCCGTGGGCGCAGTCTGAGCGGGAAGGCTGCCCATGACAACAGTAACAACAACAACAACAACAACAACAACAACAACAACAACAACAACAACAACAACAACAACAACAACCACAAAAAACAAAAAAAACAAAAACAACAAAAATGACAACCATAAACAACAATAAACAACAATAAACAACAATAAACAACAATAAACAACAAACAACCAACAACCAACAACAAACACAACAACAACAACAAACAACAAACACAACAACAACAACAACAACAACAACAACAACAACAACAACAACAACAACAACAACAACAACAGCAACAACAACAACAACAACAACAACAACAACAGCAGCAGCAGCAGCAGCAGCAACAACAACAAATGAGTGCGAGCCCCGGGGCGAGCATGTCAGCTGAAAAAGCACAACACTGGCCAGTGAGGGAGGGATCAGCACTAGTTGTTCTTCAGAATGGAGAGCTCCATCATCTCAAAACTGTTCGTTCGTCGCTGCCCGCGTGTCCCCCAGCATGTATACCCCAAGCCCTCGATGACCGCCTTCTTTGTCTTCGATCGAGCCCCCCCTGGGGGTACATGTTCTTGGCCTGCCGCGTGCAGTTGGCGCGGCTCTCGAATGGGAAGAGGAGGGACGGGAAGGCATGTGCCTTCGGACGACCCAGGGCAGCGTCTGGGCAGGCACCTGCGGGCGCCCCAGGCAGGCGTCCTGGCCAGTATCCCGCAGAGCGCCCCAGGGAAGCGCCCGGGCAGGTGCGCCGATTGCGGGCCCAGGTTCGGCCAGGCCCGAATCGGCGAGGTGGTTCGTTGACGCTACCCGATGTGAGGGTGGTCGTCGCCCGCGCGTCGTCGTCGTCGTCGTCGTCTTCGTCGTCGTCGGCGTCGTCGAGGCGGCGCGTCGCCTTCGCGCTTACTGCCCTCCCGAGCGGGCCCCCCGCGGGCGCCCGTGCGCCTCGCCCAGGCAGGACGGCGGCTCCAAGGGCGAGCAGTGGGAGGCCGCGGCGGAGCAGAAGCGGCGGCGGCAGCTGCTGCAGAAGGCGGCGAACGAGGAGGACCAGTGCCCCCCAGAGATCCGACGCTCCAAAAAGGTTGGAGCGGCGGCTCCCGCTTTTTTGCCTCCTCGGCCTCCTCTGCTCCGCCTCTCGTGGTTGTTTTTCCCACCTGTCGGGGTACTTCCAGGCGCAGCCAGCCATCCTGGGTGACGCCGGCGTGTCGCGCATCTGCCGGCAGACCCGCGTCGCCGCCCGCATTGAGGCTGAGCGTAGCAAAAAAAAAGTTGGAGCGTCGGGGTTTTGACAGTTCTGGGCTTCCCGGGGCCCTCGCCAGGCTTCGGGAGCGTCAGACCCAGGGCGAAAAGCCGGCCCTGGGGGAGCAGTCCAGACCTTTGGGGCCCACGCATCGAGAGAATTGAGGCGGCCGGATGTCTGGGTCTGTTCATTTCTGGTGCGCACAGCTGGCGCAGAGTCTGGCTCGCGAGCCGCCGCACCCGACAGCTGCTCTGCTGGCATCTTGCCTGCGAGTGCGGGTGCAGCGAGCACGGAGCTTTGCATGGGCAACGCCATGAAAAAGGGGCCGCTGCCCTTGTTCAGCCACGCGCAGAGAGGGCGTATGGGGGAGGGGGGAGGGCTTCTCAGCAGCACCCCTGCTTCTCAGAAGGCGCGGGCCTCATCTACAGACGTAAGGCCGGCGCCTCGTAAGAAGCAGCCTCCTAAGAAGCCCTCCCCCCCCCCTCCAACCCCTTGTGCGCACCGCCGACCCGTGCCAGCTCGGGCCGCCCAGCGCCGCTGCTGCGTGGGCGCCGTCGCGCGGGCGTCGGCGGGGCGCCCCGGGCATGCCTCGCGGGTCGGGCCTTGGGGGGGCCACGGCCCGAGGGCATGGCGAGAGCCCAGGGCCCCGCGGGGCCAGCGGGGTGGCAGCAGGGGGCTCCTGTCCCCGCGGGGGGCTTCAGCAGGGGAGAAAACACACACACACACACACACACACACACACACGCACGCACGCACGCACACACACACACACACAGACACAATGAGTCGTCGATCCCGTGGAAAGGGTGGGAAAAGATGGGGAGCGGGGGGGATGACGAAGACCCCGAAGAGATGGAGAAATATGGGGAATCCTGGGATTTGTGTGTCTCGACTTTTGTGTGTCCTGGGGCCCCTTTTCAAGGGCTCCCGACGACCCCGAGAGATGCACAGGGGAGCACGAGGAGACCCCGAGAGGCGCCTCGAGAGGCCCCCGGCTGGCCCCCCAGAGGCCCGCGGGAGACATTCAAAAAGGCCTCCGGTCCACAACCTAGGAAGGCTGGCCGCCGTCCTCCTCCTCCTCCTCCTCCTCTTCCTCCTCCTCCTCCTCCTCCTCCTCCTCCTCCTTCTCCTCCTCCTCCTCCTCCTCCTCCTCCTCCTCCTCCTCCTCCTCCCAATTTGGTGCACCAGCTACTGCGGGCACGCGTTGGCCGCGCTGTCGCCCCGGTTGTCTGGCCACCCGAAAAAAAGGTGCCGACGGCCACCCCAGACCACCCCCGACGTCATGATGTTTTTCATAGCCTCGACGCCCAGAGGTCTGGATCTCTTCCCCGGGATGCCTTTTTCATCCTGAGTCGCTCTGTGACGGGCCCGCGGCCCCGCTAGGGCTCCCACGGGCCGAAGATGGCGAAACATTTCCCGTCGTGACTTTTTCGTGACTCGAGGGGGCCTGGGTCCGGAGGTCCTCCTGTGCAGCGGCCACGCTGCGTGAGCAGGCGGCGGCCGTGGGCGAGATGTTTCACGACCTGCGCGGCAGAGAGCGCAGAGGAGCAGAGAGCAGGAGGAGGAGGAGGAGGAGGAGCAGAGAGCAGGAGGAGGAGGAGGAGGAGGAGAAGGAGGAGGAGGCCCCGGGGCGCCAGCAGCTCACCTCCGCCGACCCTGGCCAGGCCAGCCGTGGGCCCGGGGTCGGAGCAGACGCGCGCCTCGGGGAGAGAGGGTGGGATGCAACGACCCCCCGTCGCCCACGGATCCCCGAGAGGGGCCCGATGGCCCCGCCCCGCCCAGGAACGTGGGGACTCGCTATCGGCGGCCTGTCGCCGGTCCATCGGCGATGTGCCGCCCCCGTCGTTGCCCCTCAGCCGTGGGCCCAGGGTCGGAGCGCACACGCGTGCCAGGCTCGGACAGGGGGGGGGGCGTCCACACAGATCCAGGGACCAGGCTCAGCCTGGCCAGGACTGGAGTGCGGTAGGTTCGCATCGTGTCGACTGGCGACGGCCGCGCCGCCGGCGTTCAACGTTGAGCGCCGCTGGCGACCCAGAGGATCGTTTGATGTTGAAAGGTCTGGCGTTTCGGAAACGGCCGACCGTTCAAGGTTGATCGATCCCCGCGGTGGCAGGAACCAACGCCGGAGTCGGCACGGAACGAACCCGCGGTAGGTGGACAGGGAGGTCCGTTCGGTGCGGCGGCAAAACGGTCGGGGGCTCTCAATATTGAAGCCCCACGACAGCATATCGGGGCCCTTTGGCGGCGGAGCTCCAGCTGCACGCAAGAGAGGCCCTTCGCCAGAGTGCCATCTGGTGAGCAGGTCTCGAGGAGCGCGGGGGCGGCCAACTTCGAGCATGCAGACCGCTACAGTCGCATCGCACGCACCAAGCGGCAAGCCGCGCACCAAAGGCCGCCCTCGCCTGGGGCCACTCTGTGCGTTTGGCCGAGGGGCCGCTGAAGGCCGAGCGGCCCCCGCGGCGTCAGCGAGACCCGAGCCCACGCGCGCCACGGCTGAAGCGCGCTGGGGCTGGCGCCCTCCCAGGCGCGAGAGCCCGAAGACCACCGAGCGCCGCGCCGCGCGACGGCCAGGGAGCCACGCCGGCGGCGGCGACGGCGGCGACGACGACGACGACGATGGAGCGATCTGGAGAGCCCGGCGGCGAATCGCTCTTGCGCTTGATCTGCGACGACGACGACGACGACGACGACGACGACGAGGACGACGAGGACGACGACGAGGACGACGAGGACGACGAGGACGACGACGAGGACGACGAGGACGACGACGACGACGACGACGACGACGACGACGACGACGACGACGACGACGAGGACGACGAGGACGACGACGAGGACGACGAGGACGACGAGGACGACGACGAGGACAACGACGAGGACGACGACGACGACGACGACGACGACGACGACGACGACGACGACGATCGAGGGATCTGCGCGGAGGGGCCCTCGTGCGCGACGCCCGGCGGGCCGCGGCCTCCCTCCGCGGCCTGCGGCGGCGACCTGCGGCCGCTCGGCGGCGCCCGTCGCCGCGGGTCGTCGGCCGTCGGCCTGCGGGCGCGACGCCTCCTCCTCCTCCTCCTCCTCCTCCTCCTCCTCCTCCTCCTCCTCTTCCTCCTCCTCTTCCTCCTCCTTCTCCTCCTCCTCCTCCTCCTCCTCCACCTTCCTCCTCCACTCTCCTCCTCCTCCAGTGCGCTCCCCTCGTCGTGGCGACGGCGGTCTGCCGCTCGGCGGCCTCGCCGCCGCAGCCGGCGGTCGTCGGCCTGCGGGCGCGACGGCGTGGCGGCGGCCTGCGGCCGCTCAACGGCGTCTGCCGTCGCCGCAGCCGTCTGTCGTCGGCTCGGGCATCGCGTCGCCCAGCAGTGGCGAGTCGTCTTGGCTTGCCTGCAGGCCCACCACAGGGTGCTCTAAGACCCTCTCGTGGTTTCTAGAAGAAAATGTTATCAGGGTTTTTCTGGCCGAGACCGCTCGGTTTTAGTGCATCGGCTCAATGTTCTACGAACACTGTGTCTGTGATTCGAACATTATGTTGTTCTGAGAGTATCTCCTGGTAGTCAGCCCCCCCCTCGCATCGCGAAGGAGCGAACAAACAAGCAAAGAAGAGAACGACGGGAGGGTCTGGGTCATTTTCGGCTTGGGGAGGCGGCCCGCACTGGGCCTTGGGACCGTGAAGAAGCGGCTCAGGATGAGAGGCCGGTCTTCGGGAATCGGCCAGGGGATCCACGTCGCTGGCGCTACGTGGCGCTTTGGCCCCACATGTACCGATCTTCTTCCCCACGCAGGGGTCTGCGGGCAGAGTTGCGGAGGAGGAGGAGGAGGAGGAGGAGGAGACGAGGGCTTCAGTCGCTCGTTCGACAAGACCGTCCGCATCGCTGACTCACTCAGCAGCTGGGGAGGAATATGAGCAGGAGGAGGAGGAGAATGAAGAGGAGGAGGAGGAGGAGGATCAAGCCGTTTCTCTGATTGGATGCCCTTTGGGCTTCCAGAGGCTTCAGAACCTTGCGCGGAGACCTCCTTGGACCTCCAGGGGCGTCCTGGAGCCTCTGGAGACCTTTCGGGGCCTCCGCAGACCCAGACTTCGGGCGACTTCGTCAACACAGAGGTGCGCGCCAGAGGCCTTCCGGCCATGCTCGGCGTCCTGGGGCCGTTGCTGGGCCCCAGGACCGCCGGAGAGCCAGAGCCCTCAGGAAACAGCCGAGAGCTCGGAGGGCCCTCCGATTCGGAAGGCGGAGCCCAGTTCGAGTGACAACGCGCTGTTGTGGCTGACAGAACGAAGCCAGGCCGCCCATACGCGGCCAGAGTATATCAGAGCGTAAATTACCTCCCCTGCTTTCGCTTCCAGGCAAAACCAAGCCATACCACGCGCCTCCTCGTCAAGCGGCCTGACCAGTACAGGCCGCAATTTGGCATCGGTTGGTATCTCTTGGAAGCGAGGGTGGTCAAAAGCGAGGTAGGTTTGTTTTCCCCCGAGTATAGGAGCACAGGATGGCGCCGCATCGCCGATGCGTCGGCGCTGCGGAGCCAGACGTCCTCCATCTCCAGGCCGCCGCGAGGGGGCCAGAGGAGGCGGGGTCCCAGGATCGCGCCGCATCGCCGGCGCATCGGCATCTGCAACGCACTGCGGCGCGAGCCGGATTCCTCCGTCGACGATGCCTCAGCGATGCGGTGAGATCCCTCGGGCCCACCTGTCGTGAGGGGGGGCCCCCCCCTGTTTTGACCTCCGCGCTGGTCAATGCTCAAAGAGCGCTCGCCGTCGCAACGTCGGCACTGCTTGATTGGTTGGCGCGGCGTATCCAGCTATCTACGTATACACCTTAGGCGATGCTTAAGAAAACTTGAGTTTTCGTCCAGAGTCTCGATTATTCTTCATATTTCAATGTAAATCCTAAGATTTTGATAGAAATTTGGGGTTTTTATTCGAGTTCTGAGACCATGAATTTCTTAACCCATGATTTCTTAACCATTTCGCGTGGTGTCTATCCCCCCGGGCGC